GCTATGCTGAGCTGAGACGGTGTCGATGGCGATGCTATATTGAGCTGAGGCGGCGTCGATGTCGGTGCTATGCTGAGCTGAGGCGGCGTCGATGTCGGTGCTATGCTGAGCTGAGACAGCGTCGATGTCGGTGTTATGCTGAGCTGAGACGGCGTCGATGTCGGCGTTATGCTGAGCTGAGACGGTGTCGATGTCGGTGTTATGCTAAGCTGAGACGGCGTCGATTTCGATGCTCGGCCGACCACGGTAGAGCTCGGCACGACCCCAGTTTCCGTCATGGCGCAGTGCCCGCCGGTGGGCCGGCCGCCTCGGTGCCCGACGCGGGAGCGCGGGTCAAAGCCGGGAGCACTATGACCCGCAATCAGTGTACACTGAACCTGCGATACAGGGGTGGCGCGTGTGACCGATAGCACTGGCTGCCGTCTTGGTGAAGTGTTTAGACACTCGCCGGCGGTTGTATTATCATGCGGCTGCACGGTGCGGAGGCACGTGTACAATGAACTGAACGGTAATACTTGGGTACGCAGCAATGAGCGGTAATACTGGGGCAGGACGATGACGTGACCAGGACGATCCTGCGTGGCCTCCCTGCTATGGCTTCCGGTGCCAAAAGCTGTCATCACGGTGCTCTTACTCCCAGGCTCTTCCTTCCCGGTCTACGTCAGGTGCAGTCCGCAGGCAATGCCCATGTCTACCTCAACATTCATTTCATATCTTTCCGCGATCAAGTGCGATGCATTTGGGTCGAGCACTTACAATCACATCACAGAAACAGTTCTAATAAGTTGACCACTCGTCAAACAGTTCTGCAATACCTTGAGCCATCGGCAATATTCGTTCGGTGCGTTCTACGCAATGATAACATCTTTATGTTACTTGGGGAGATCCCCCTATCAACAGTCCGGCGACGCTGCTGGCTGTGCCTGCCTGATTCACCGCACCAAGCTGTCTTGAGTAGCCTCTTCAGCCTCTCCACATATCTTCACTGATGCCACCATCTACTACGACTAAACTTACTCGTGAGGGACACCCGCATCACTGCTCGGGTCACTGCCATGCTCACAACTCGACCGCGTGCTCACATCAGTCACTGGGGGAAGGCTTAGACGAGACATCGGTACTTTGTCGCTTTCAGTTAGCCGAAAGGTAAGTTCATTGCCATTGGCGCGAGTGTTACTAGACTTCTTATGCTAAAACCTTTCTTGGATTCGTTTAAACGCCTTGACTAGTTTACGACTAAGCATATACAACAAACTATAACTATAAAGGGAAAACGAAACTAACGCCATGGCAAGCAAAATGCCAAAAAGATACGAGGACGTGGGTTACCGAGTGGAACGCCCGAGACCCTCTACCTCATCACAGCTATCACCCTGTTCTGTACGCCGTCGGAAGATATCTCCCGCTGACTGATGCTGGTATGGCGTCGGCTGCTCTGGAATAGCTGGCGGGCATGTCGGTCCGGAACCAGAACAAACGCGCTACGTGGTTCCTTTGCGCGTCTATTGACTACAACCGGGGTGGAGCAATGCCACGACATTGCATGGCACGTGAAGCCATTCCGGAAAGCTGCCCATTGAACAGGGATTACTCTAAGTGGACAACGACGACGTCAGAGCCTCAGCGGCAGGGGCCGTTCGGAAGACGCCAGTCCTCGGCAGAACATCGGCAGGAACGCCAGACAAGTACTGCCGACTGCGTCCCTCCCTTTGAGTGCGTCGGCGCGCGGGTGTCGCCCGGTGCCGGCGACGGCGTGGTCGGGCCGGGCCCGGCGCGGCGCGCTCAATATGGCGCGGGGCACACGCGGCACATGTTGGTGCATTGATCGCCGGCCGAGTGGAGCCGCGACCGCACCGCGGACGGACAGGTCAGCCGCGCGGGAGGCGCCGGACGAGCGCGGCGCGTGCGGGCGCGGGGCGTGGCGCACGGGGCGTGGCAGGCGGGACTGCGGGCGGGCGGGCGGCGCGGCGGCACGGAAGTGGCGGAAGGACGACGGAGGTGCCAGTCGCGAGCGCATCGCGCTTGCCGCGCGGCGGTCAGAGCCGGGTGGGACGCCGCGGCGCGCGCGTCGAGGGTCACATGCAATGTGAAGGCTGCGGGCCACGTCGATGCCAGTCGATGTTCAGTCAGTCGTGGGCGGCGCGTCGCCAGCGGAGGCCGACGGCGACCCGGCGGCGAAGGCGGCGTGACTCGAGAGGTGCGGCCTCGGCGCTCGCTCCGTACGGGTCCTGGGGAGGGGGGGGGGGGGGGGAGGGGCAGCAGGAGAAGCAGCAAGCGGCGCCGCCGGTCCACGATCCGCCGGCTCATCAATATGCAGTTGCCACCCGGCTGGGCCAGGGGACAGCCGGGGGGGGGGGGGGGAGCGGGTCCGCTAACCGCTGACCTTGCCTCCTCGCCGCGGGAACGTCAAGGGGCAGCGCTGCGACGCGCGGACGCGGGACGCGACGTGGTCAGCTGTGCCACCTCCTGGCGTCTAGGAGGCCCGGGTCCGGGGCGGATCCCGTCGGTCACGGCCGCGCGAGCGATTGGCGCAGACGAGACGTTGGCGATTGCGGACATCGCTCAGCTGTTAGATACAGTGATTAATATCTACTAGCTTTGAGCTGATAGAGTAATCTAATAGGTTAGACAATTTGTCTAAGAAGTTAGTAGAGTGGTTTTTCTCTTAAGATAAAGAGTGGTCGTTGGTTAATAAGTTCATAAGTTTAGAAAGTTAGTAGTTGGTTAATAAGTTAGAAAAGTCGTGTTCTAAGTTAGTAGAGTGGTTCTCACCCGCTATAGTTCTTACTTCGCTTCCCACGCTGCACGGCGAGGTGACAGCTGGCCTGGCGGCATTTCTAGAACAACTGATCGGGAAGTGAATTGATCAGCTGATCAAAAAGCAGCTTCGCCTGACGAGAGGTCGATGCTGTTTCGGGGCTGCTGAACACCTTGAACCTTTATTGCAGTCACTGTAAACATGCCGTGGGCTTCCATTTTAGTCGCCGTTACCGACGTAGTTTCGTTTCACTTTTTTTACTTTGGACCTAAGGAGCCACTGCGGACCCATCTGGTCTCGACGATCGGCACACGCCCTGCGGCGTGACGGTCCCAAGCCTCGTCAACATCCTCTGCGGCCGTGGCGAACGTGGGACAATCAACGGAAGCGCCACGCCCATTCACTCCCTCGGGGAAATTGTCCAGAAGCCGGCGAAGCCAACTGCCGCTGGCGCTGCTCCAAAGCGGACCCTGACATTGGAGCGTGGCCAGGCCAGCCTCTCAATGCTGCTCGCAGTGCTGGCCGATCGCGTTCGACCGCTACCAAAGGCGACTGCGGCATCGACCGCTCAGCAGGGATGGTGGGGCTTCATTAGTTCGGGCTCGCCGGCCGAGACCGAGTCACAGACACAGTCCGGACAGCAGCGACGGTGGGCGGCTGTCAGAACACCGGGCAGAGAGGGAGATTGTCCGGGCAACGGACAGCGGGAGACTGTCCAGACAACGGATAGAGAAGGAGACCGTCAGACCAACGGATGGAGAGGGACGGCAGAACGGCAGTTAGAACCGAGACGCAGTTGAAGCAAATTAATCGATGTAAAATATGGTGCAGAACAACACAAAGTGTCACCATCTCAAAGGCAGACAAGAATTGCTCATTTTGATGATAACTTTTATTCTACGCATTTGGAAGCGTCCATGTCGCACTTTGCACGGCGTGGTCGGAGATTGCGCTGAGGATTTACCGCGCCTGCATGGGCGGCAGTTTGAATTATTCAAACTTTAGGCGGTCAGGGACGCCGCGTGCCCTGAATAGCCGGAGCCAAGCACTCCCAGTTGATGTGCATGGTAGGCTTCAGCTCGCGCACAGACGTATTCAGTTCGCTGGACAAGACAAGTGTTGCCATATTCCATATGAGCCCAGACCCAATGCCCAAGTAACCGACCCAGCTGCCTCTAAAAAAGGCGCCACCGGGAGAAAAAAGACGTGAGCAGCAGACAAAAAACAACGTGACGTCGCGTCTTCTTTTTATAAGATCAGAAAGTGTGTCGCTCCTTTTTGTCCTTGTCAACGTCTTTACAGATATTAATGATGTTTATTTCATAACAATGGCCTCAGGGTTCATGCCTGAGTTTCGTTGGTGGAGTCCTCAACATGTGCAATATTGACCTATACCTTTTCTGTCACAGCTATCTTATCGTTCCACAGTATTCTGTCACGGCAACGGTAGATACTGAGCAAATCTGTACGCATCCGCGCTCCAACACGTTTTTTCCGGTCACACGCTGTGGACGGCGAGGTGGATGAAGTTTTCCGTCAAGTTTCAAGTTCCAAGTTTTTTATGTGGGCCTTAACCCCATTTCGTAGCGTCTGTCTTACCCGGAGCGAGGTGATGTTAAAATTACATTAATTCAAAATACGAAGAGCTGAAGTCCGGCAAAGCACTGGAGATGTGCCTTTAAAAAGTTGTCCTTTCGCCTCCCCAGTGGACTTCTGAAACTTCACTCCCGAACGATGACGTGGCCTACGTGTGGTGTGACGTTGCGATGACGCCACAGATCTGCGACCGATGATAACCAGCTCTGACTCTGTCCGAACTGAGGCTGGCAGCGCGCGTGACTGACTTCCGGCCTCCGTCCGGGCGTTTCCGGCTGCTTCCTGCCGTCGCCAGTTGGCGCCTGACGCTGCGATAGTCGTTGCCGCCGGCGGCGCTGCCAATAGATCCTCGGTGTGCCGGCGGGACCACCTGGGCCCGAGGTCCAGAGGTCCGACCGACCACCTGTCGTGCCATGACGCTATCGCTGCGCCGACTATCGAGGACCGGCGGGCGGCGTTATCAGCGCGGGCGACGCGTTTCCACGCGGCTGCGGCGGCGGCGGTGTCAGTTCTGGCCCGCCGCGCTGCCATGAGGCGCCTGAGTCGCTCCGTGGCCTACCTGCCGGCGGCGGCGCGGGAGGCGCCCGCCGCCGAGGCCGCGGCGAGCGCGCAGGAGGACCGGCGCTCGCGCGGTGACCTCTCGGAGATGTCGCACAGTGTCGTCAGTCTGTACTTGGAGGATGAGCGCGATATCAAGCGGCGCAGGTGAGGCCGGCGGCACGATCTGTGCTTCGGCTCAGGGACCGCCCTGATGCTAGCGCCCCGCCCGGGGTTCGGTACTTCGATTGGAAAGCTTTACCGCGACTGAGGCTGTTTGTCTCTCGGTTGGGCCGTCGCACCTCCGACGGATCTACGTGCCCAGACTGGACTTTGTGCCCACAGACCGGATCCTTGCGCCCAAACTGGGCCTCTGTACTTCGACTGGGCATCCCCGGCCCGCTTTAGTTTCTTAGACTCCACGGAAACTGTGCACCTTGACTGGACCTCCACACCCCACCGGACATCCTTACCCCACGGGGCCCCTGTGGCCTTACCGGATTATTAGATCATCTCAGGTCGCTGCGCTCGATTAGAACCTCGAACCCAATCTGGTGCCCTGCACGGCGACTGGGCCTCCACACTCCGACAGGACTTCCGAACCGCGACTGAGTCCCTGTACACTGCGAACATCATTTGCTCTGTGCGAGCATCCGTAGCCTCCGGCTGTGCCTCTGCACTTTTCCTGAACACCTTACCCAGATGAACTAATAGTTCAGCGGTGTCTACCTGGTTGGAGGTAGACGCAAATTAACTCCGCTGCCAAACGGTTCGGTTGGGGGTATGGGGTACAATGGGGGTACCTCAAGGATCAATTCTCGGCCCAATTCTGTTCTTAATGTAAATCAATGACTTGCCTAAATTAAGCAGTAACATGACATGCCTGTCTTACGCTGATGATACTGCGATTATTTTCAAAAATAAAAGTAGTGTGGAACTTCAAAACAATATCAAACCCTTTAGCTTCTAATGGCCTCCTGGTTCATTGCTAATTTTTTCCCTGAACATATCAAAAAAATTTACACAGCATTATACTGGCCTTTCTTCACAGTTCTAGCTAAATGTGCAAATTAATAATTCACTTATTGAAGGGAAAAAATAAATCAATTATCTTAGAGTACTCATTGACAAATCTCTTAAATTTACTGGCCACATTAATTTTGTTGCAAGCATAGTAAGGAGAAATAGTGGAATAATAAGTAGGGTTGGGTACTTCATTGACAAAATAACGTCACATCTGCTCTATAACACTTTAATTCTTCGTTATTCAAGTTACTGCTTGATTTGGGCCATAAATTATGCTTCCTCACTAGATCGGTTAGTAAGTTTGCAAAAAAGGTCCATGCGTCTAATAGAAAATGTGTATCCTCAGAGCTCAAAGCCAATCTTAAAATGATACAAAATTTTGAAACTATCGGATATTGCTAAATCCCAAATGTAAATTGTGACGCACAAATCTGTAGCTTCACAGCTCCCTGCATCAGTCGATTTAAGATACAAGCTCTACGAATCAAATGGCATGCATATGAGGCGAGTAAAACATTTAGACCAACCTTTCTCAAATCATAATTGTAGACTATTTACAACATCTTGCCTTGGCCCTAAGCTGTGGAACGACATTATGACATCACATTTTCCGAGAATAGCTGATATCTATGCATCAAAAACCATTAATAAAAACATCATCCACAAACATTTTGTGAATGCATATTAACGTAACCAACATATTTGAAGACATTGCAATCCTTTGCGCTGCACATGTGCAACGCACTTCATATTCAACCTCCTTCATGTTCCATAATCACGTTCTGATATAATTAAAGTCATGCACATGTACCCAAATTCACGGCGTTGGCTCCGGAAGTTCTTCCAGCGACAAGCCCCGCTTAACTGGGTGAACTCCCTTGACATTCAGCTCAAAACCCAGCACGAAAATGACCGGCTAACTGCCCCTCCGACTTGTGTGACCGTACAACCCTTACTAACACTGTCCTTCGGGTCCGTACCACCTCTTCGCCTGTTTCGTTACGTTTGTTTCCTCTTCCTAGCTGGGAGTGCCGCGACTTGATTTTATGTTTTCTGGTGTTAACGTATGGTTTATTGCGTCGCTGGGATTGGGGGAGGGCCGCTCCTGGTTACCTGTTCTTGGGTAACGGCATAGAAAAAAGTTTGTGCATATGGTCGATTGTAATCCCATTTCTAGGAGTCAGCCTCTTATCATGTGATTGAATCAATAATGCGTGCGGTAGCGGCCACATCGTTTCTGTCGCGGCGAAAACCTTCTGCATACGTCCTGCGGCGTGAACGACATCGATGGATGTCCGCTGCTGTTGGGTCATGCCGGAAGATCATGACCGGCGTGCTGACTGAGGCCCACACTTGCTTCGCTCTGCACAAGCACGGCAGTGGCCATGTAACGATGACGTGCGGTTTTGCTCGATGCCGAAAGCACAACTGGTGCCGTAATAAAGCGTGCAAGCTTTTTATCATTTTATTATTTCTGAATGATTGCGGTTGCGGCAATAATTGCTGTTGGTTTGATGTCTGGAACGCAGTTGATGGCGTCATGAGCGGTAAAAGTCATTTCTTTCAGAAATACAAATTGCATGCCAGCGGAAAACAAAATACTGAGCGATTAGCCAGCTGACGCGGGTGCGGCGCCAACGTCATAGGAGTGCGTACAGGTTCGGTATATTGTTCCTTTAGTTTGTTTTAGCAGCGTAGGGTAAACGTTACAGGTGGCTTTCGTAGCAAACGCCGGACAGATTTCATTGGTGGCTTTAGGTGAGGCAGCGCTAATGAATCTGCTAACAAATTAGGTATTATGCATTTGTTGACGTGTTGCGCGTTGTGTAGAGCTGGCTCAGCGAATGTGAATGCAGATGGCCCTCAAACACGGCATTGCGGCTAAGCACACTATCGCGATAGCGTATCTACGACATATCCACTGAGGTCCGCATTATCTGGCGACGACAATGTCGTTCTTGACCGCCGTTAGCTCTTTGGAGTAGCCACGCTCGCCCCTCTTCAGAAAGCTGTGTGACGAGACCAAAGTGCGGAGCGGCGGTCGATGCTTGTTTGTTGTGTGACGGAAACGTGATCGCACTTTTGCATCAGTCATTCAAGATTACTTAATAATTTGTGGTTGGGAGTGATTAAAATTCAGGATCTCAGAAGGAAATAAGCACCATGAACTTTTAATCAAATTACCAGGTGGCTTTAGCCGTGACGTCAGTGAAATCTCTGTCAATTCAGCGGACGCAGCCCAAGCTGGGCCGTGGCTATCGTGGGCTCAGGCACGTGAAAACTTAGCCGCCGTTCGATCTATGAAATCGAAAACAGGCATCTTCTTATTGTTTAACCCAGACTTGCTCTTGAAATAGGCACTAAACCAACTAGAGACATTCATTTGTATAAACACCGTGCACGCGTCAAATCAGAGCATGTTCGGTTTTTCGCCTAGTTGTTGAGCGGCCGGATGAAATCGCGCCAGAATTTCACACGTGAACACTGAAACCGGGCACATCGTTGTCGCCATGCGGTCACCTTCTTGGCTATCTCCGTCCCATTGACTTTTTCTAGAAGTGGCTGCTCTTCTACTACGCCGATAACGACTTGGCCCACTGAATTGGCTCCCAGACAAGTGAGGCGCAAGGACCACGGCCGGAGCCGCGGCGTGGTGACCTGATCCGAGTTTGGCAGGCTACGTCCGGACCGCTGTTGCCACCTCCGGCCGACCCCGCTCCCCCCCCCCCCCCCCCTGGTGCGTTCTCCGCTGCCAAAGGTCGGGGTGATATCCGCCGGCTGCATTAGGTCAAGGGGCATCGGTCACCGACGTGAGGGGGATGGCCGGCGCGCGCTCGTTAATCGCTGACGGGGCGAGTCGCCTGTCGCCGCCGGCCGGCTGGTCAGCAACTCCCGCCACCGCGCCAGGCCTGTAATCATCGCCAGGAAATCCCCGTCGCGCTGCCTGGCAGAATTCGTGTCGTATTCCTTCATAACGCATTTCTTGGTGCGCAGTATTTCGCCAGCAAGTCCTCGAGTCGCATGATGATGTAAGGTGTTTCTTCGAGCGCAGATCTTCTTAAGCACAGATATCATGAAGTGCAAATCTTCGTAACGCAGAATCAATGCGAGTATTTCTTTGCATCGCGTCTTTCCGTACATGCGCTCAGTCGCATACGCATATTTTCGCATTGTTCGATATGCATGCGCAATTTTTGCTATGAATTTTTTGTCGCGTACGCAAGTCTTCGTAGTGCATCACGCCGTATGCGCTATAAGTTTGCCCTATTTCGTTTTCGTCCATTCTCATTTTCTTTGCAATTATTCACATTTCCAGCTATTCGACGGCAGGGTCCAGTCACGCTTAAACGGGTATTGAACAAGTTAGCGCACAACTCGGTTATGCTTTTCAAATATACAAACATAAAATTACATAAGATAAAATAACATCCATAGCCCGATGGCAACGGGAACCTGTCTCCAGATTTGTCTAAATCGACAACGGCACGTTTCGCTCGTGCGACTTCCGGGGTACACACTCTAATGTTTGTGAGATACTGATCCAGGTGTCCAACCTTTTAGGGACTGGGCTGGCAAGCGGGCGGGGGTTAATCGCAGGAACTTGGCCTAGGCGGATGTCAAGGAGGTGGTACCTCCTCCCCGCCCTTTGAGCCGAACAGTAAACAACAAATTCTGGATGATTTCGAAGCAAGTTTGTCATAATGTGCAGAATTGGGGGAAAATTTGACTTATTTCTCTCCATGGAAAATTTGGCTACATCACTGGGATATGACTAAAGACCAGTGCAGGTAGGACAAGGTATGGATGACGGCAGTCAGGGAAGAGGTAGGACAGGGTATTAATGACGGCAGTCAGGGAAGAGGGCGTGCGACGCGTTCCGTCATCCTGAGTCTTAGGGAACAACATACTGGAAAGGAATGGGATGAATGAATAAATAACCAACACAAATGATGAACAAATAACAGATTATCAATTGCTTTTTGGACATCCATCATAAGCTGTTATCTTCGGCAGGAAGTATTGTGTTCAGCAACTTGCCCCACTCATGGAGGGGGACTCCAATCACCGTCATAAAAAGCGTCTGCTCCCAGGAGCTCTGTACCCTAACAGACGGGGATCTACCCGCGTTAGATACTTACCGT